GGAAGCACCAGCTTTCTGGATGCTGTCTTTTTGTTGTGGTTTCCAGTTACTCAGAGAAGGAACAGTTTGTGGCCCTGATGCACCTCTTGCTGGCCTGTGGTTGTGTGTGTCCTCTGGGGATTAAGCACCTGATGCTGTTTGCTGCTTCTCTTGCCATTTTCCCAGTTAACTGCGCTCTTAAGAAAAGACCAGGGCTCTCTTGAGCAACTCGGAGCTTTAGTGAAAATAGAAATATTCGCTTAAGAGGGGAAGTGCCCAGGTGGCTAAACCTCATCCATCCCAGAGAACGCCAACAAAACTATTCCCTACTCTAGGTAGGAGAGTTGACTTCGCTGCTGTGAGCACGTGTAGGGGTGTGCATCCTAATTGAACTTGTGCAGTTAGGGGTCTATAACTTGTTAAAAGCCACTTTAAAGAAATGTGAGGCTTCTAAATCACATGGATTCCTGAGAAAATGTGACCCCTGCTTTTGTCCTGTCTGGCCTCAGTTGGCTGACAGGACAGAGCTCTTTTCCCCACTCGGATATGCTTCGTGTTGAGGGAGCTCTTATGAACATTTCTGAACCTCAAGGATGATGTGAATGGAGAGTGGATGGGGAAAGCTCTTCCCCATGGGTTGAAATCTGCGGTTATTGGATCATAGAATCATAGAATGTTTTGGGTTGGAAGGGACCCCTAGAGGTCATCTAGTGCAACCCCCCTGCAGGAGCAGGGACAGCACTAACTAGATCAGGTTGCTCAGAGCCCTGTCCAACCTGGCCTTGAATGCTTCCAGGGATGGGGCCTCCACTACCTCTCTGGGCAACCTGTTCCAGTGTTTCACCACCCTCATTGTAAGGAATTTCTTCCTTATATCCAGTCTAAACCTACCTGGTTTAGTTTAAAACCATTACCCCTTGTCCTGTCACAGCTGGCCCTACTAAAAAGATTTTCCCCATCTTTCCTATAGGCTCCCTTTAAGTACTGAAAGGCCGTAATCAGGTCTCCCCGCAGCCTTCTCTTCTCCAGGCTGAACAAGCCCAACTCCCTCAGCCTGTCCTCT